TCAATGAGGAGTGTTGCTCATTTGTGAGCCTTCATTAACTCGAAGTGAAATGGTTAAAATATTTATCCTGTTAGAATAGGCTGCATCTTTTTAACAACTCATAAAATAAAAAAAAAAAAAAAAAAAAGGAAAAAAAAACCAAACAAAAAAAAAAACTGGCTTTTGAGATGACTTATACTAATTTACATTGTTTACCATGCTGTAGTGCTTAAAGAACACTACTTAAAAGCAAAATAAACTTGGTTTACATTTATTTTTCTTTCTTCGGCTTATTCTTTTATTGGATGAAAACGCTGTGATCATATTTAAGATTTGTATTTGAAGGTGTAGGAGGAGTTCCTTGAGGTTTTAGATAACTTGCTTCTGGCTTGCCTCATCTCAAGGCCTTTGGCTGTGCTTGAAGTGACCGTGAACTAAGTTGGGCTCCGTTTGGAAGTGCAGTAGCTGTTCTGACTTACCTCCATGGATGAATATTCCACGCTCTGTTACTCTGAAATGCCAGGAATGACTGAGGTACTCTTGCTCTTTCTCCCTCTGGACTCTTTGCAGTTTATTTCAAAGAGGCATTGCACTGTATCTTGACTAAGCAGTTAATAATAGTCCGTGTTAATAACACGTGTAGACAAGATCTACAGTTATTTTTGTACCTAAAGTTTTGTAGTTCACTGATTTTCACAGATTTCTGAGCAGTGTGAACACTGAGGTTGTGTACAGTCCTGGCTTCCCCATCTCTGTAATGTCCTGTCTGTTTTCTAACAGTCGATGTTCAAGCTCTCCCAAAGTTTTCCCATCGCTTTGGTGTCCAATCTGCAGATTGTTGCTACGACGCCAAGCGTGGCCGTTCCCCGAGAGCTGTCAAAGGAGGCTGGGCAGGTGTGCAGGTGTTTCCTGGCAGTGTGGGTACCGTGGTTCCCTTTGTGCTGTGTGTTCCTTTGGCAGTAGGAGTGCAGGAGTTAGCAGTGTTCCTGTAGGATTTAGCTGTGACCCGAATGTTGCCATCCCGAGTTTGTGTTGCCCTCGGACGTTGTGTGGAGCTGGCACTTGATCCTTGGAGAGAAAATTCCTCAAACCCTGCATGGCTGGCACTTAAAATACAGCCTACCAAACCTGTTAATAGTTACCAAAACTCCTTTCTTTCTCTCCTTAAAGCTCCTCTTTAAGCTTTTCCATGTCTTCCCCTCGCGTGGAGCTTTTTGTTCTGCCCTGCGAAGGCCACAGCGTCTTCAAATGGGCAGTTAAAAGTGAAATAATGGAAGTATTTCAAGGACACATCTGGGAAGGACATGAAAGGGCTCACGAGTTGCAGCGTTAGAGAATACAGATCATCAGAAACTGTGCAGAGAAATAAAGTTATCAAAAGGGGGGGGGGGGAAATGGAAATCAATCTCACCCACAGCGTGACACCAGAAATACCCGTGAGTCAGAGGGCTGAGCACTGAGCGGGCTCTGGTGTGTGGTGGCATCAACAGTGGGTTCAAATACATCTTGGAACAAAACCCCACAGGTGTGAAGTGACACAAGTTCCTTCCCTGAAGGCTGAAGTTGGTCTGGGGCTCACGGTCGGGTTGTCCACTGAAGAACTGAATGTGACCTAAACTCTCTACAAACCCAAAATGTATTTTTTATGTTGATTCAGAGAAGAATTGTTGCGTTATTTTGATACTTTTATGGATTATCTGAGTAACAACATTATGATCTTAGGTTTTGCTTCCCTTTTAGATCTAAAAAATTTAACTGTGGTCTTGTCTTGTTCTCTTAAGAAAATTGGTGCCTTTCCCTGATCTCTGCAGCTGCTCTAAAAATGCAGCTTATGCAAAGTTCTGGATACCATGAAAGATTTGACTTGTGTGTGTGCATATTTCTAGTGCAGTTATCCTGAATGTGGAAAAAAAAAAAATAATTACAATGTACATCTAAGGAAGTTCTAGTTCTAATGCACACTCTGTAAATCGAAATATATGGAGAAAAAAAAAGCATGAACCATCATATAAACATCTACATAACTTGTAATTATATGTAAACCAATGTTTTGTGCATATTTCTATACAGATTTTACAAAAACCAGTTCTGTGTACTCCAGGTACATTGATAAATACGAATATTTGGGGGTGTTTTCTGTGTTTACATGAATGGATTGTCAGCTGATGGAGACACCCCAGGTACTTGTTTCAGGCTGCCATGATGTGTTTGCTACTGTAACTGAAGCAGATTTTCTTCCAAAGCATTTTAGGTTAGTTGGTTTTTGGTTTTTCTTTTTTTTTAAACTAGAATAATTTGGTGTGTGTTGATCTGATTGGTTTAAGTGAACTATTTTCCAATAAAGCTAATATTTATGCAAAAAACAACAAAAAGCTTTAGAAACGCTCATCTCTCCAGGAAGCTTTAGTTACTTCTGAGAGTTCTTGGCACTGGAAAGCAAGAAAATTTTGAGCCTAAGGGGGGGTAAAAACCAGGAAAAGATGCTGAAAATGATGGATGAAGAAGTTGCCTGAGGTGATGGACTCACCTTGGTGCTGATGAGGGGCCAGACTGTCCCCCAGTCCATTCAGCACTGTAAATGATTATTGCTGATCCAGACTCCTGGGGTGCTGTTGGGATTTGCTGGAATGTCTGCCTAAACTTACTCCTTTTCTCTCCACTCAGTGGGTTTGTCTCCCAACTGACGTGCTCTTTAAAAACCCTTCTGGTGCCAAAAATGAGGCAAAGAATGTGCCCCTCCCTTCAGCTGCCCATCAGGAAGGCCCCTCTGCACTTGGGTTGTTGAGACTGAACTTACTTTAGGACTTGCAGTCTCAGGAGATCCTTCCTTGTCCAATCCTGCTGATTTAGGCTCAGCAGGATTCCCTTGGGAGAAGGCCTGGCCGTTCCAGCAGAGGATTCACAGTGCACCTGAACTACCCAAAGCACATGAAATCCCGGATTTCAGATGGACAAACCTGCCCCCTGTGCTGCTGGTGGTGTGTGTTTCTCACTCCCTGTTTGTGCTGTCAGTGGGAACAATCAGAGATGGGATCGAGGAGGAATATTTGGGAAGTTAAAGAGTATTAATAAAAAACAACACACTCAGATTTTTCACTTTTATTTGTGAGTTAAAAGCTGAACAACACTTTTTCCTAGAAGATACACTGGCAAGTCTCTCTTCCAGGTGCCCCATCAAGGTGTATCAAGGGGGGTCTGGGGTTTTTGTGTTGTGAACACATTTTAAATCTTAATTATTTTTTTTTTTAATAGTGGCTCAGCTTTTTTCTGAGTCTTGAATTTTATAGACTTACATGGTCCAGATGTCCAAGAGAAGCTGCCTGAACTCTCTGGTAAGGTGGTTCAGTTGCTGGTGGCACTCTCATGCTCAGAAATGCCTTTTCTGTACTTCCATGACACATTTTTTGCCTAATGCAGCCAAATTCTGACTATATTCTCTACTAGTTGGGGTAAATCAAACTAATTGAATTTGGCTTCTCGGGGTCTAGTTAAATGAGAACCTTGTTAAAAAGTTGAAAATGCTAAGAGAGCCATGGAAGTCAAGTGCTGAAACTTTAAAGGTTGGTTAACTTTGTTCTTTTGCTTTCAGTGATTTCCAGCACTGTTCCAGCCTCGAGCTTACAGATATAAGTGATATAAGATGCACTCCCATCTTTATGCTAAAGAAAAACAGGACTGTTAGTTCAGTGTTGGGACAGGAATTTTGGAAAGTGTATGTTCTCAAACTCTTAATCCACTCCTAAATTTGGATTAAGAATTTTATTTTGCCCCTGTCTTTCATTTGTGTGAGTGACTCCTCTGGAGCAGTGCTGGCACTTTACCAGAGCAAATATTTCCAGATGAGGAGCTTCACAGTGAAGGGAAGGGAAGAGGCCTCCTGGGGATAAAACAACCTTGCTGGAATGGCACAGGGAGAAAAGAAAGGTCAGGAGAAAGCAAAGCACAGGAGGCTGATGATAAGGCAGTTACAGTTCTTCTGCAATTTAATCTCAGGTTAAAATCTCTAGTTTGAAAAAAAAAAAATAATGGTGTGCAGTAAAAGGAATTTGGAGTATTCCCTTCTGCACAAAAGCAGGAGTGACTCAAGGTCAGCCACCACGCTCCAGAAGGCCCCTTCCTTCTGCTGACTCTGGTGCTTACCTGGTGGTGCTGCTGGCAAAAGATCCAAGAGCTGAGTTGTCAGGAAAACAATATTTGAGGTGTTTCTGGCAGTTCACTTTGATTCTGTTGTTAAAGTTACTGCAGGGCCTGTAGGAGGAAGAAAAAGCAGAAAGTCAATTCGAATCAGATTATGCAGGTTGTAGAATGAGGTTTTCTACGATAACAAATAATCTGGACACATAAAAGGTAAGGCAGCACAACACCTACTAAAACTAACATACATGCACAACACAAACCCCTCTGATCCACCTTCTGATGGATCTCAAGCTTTGGAATTGCTGTAGAACAGAAAGGTGGTCACTACCTTAATTCAGGCATGAGCAGAACATGGCAATTGTAATATTCTGGACTGCTCTTTTATTTTTTTCATTATAGGAGTTTTCAGGCTTTCTGGAAGAGATCCCACAACCGAAAGGGCCTTACAGGCTCTGGTATATCTGTAATTTTAATGACTAAACTGGTTAGTTATTAACCAAATCTCCATAATAATAATAACCATTTATATAACTAATT